ACACACACACACACACACACACACACACACACACACTGAGCCTGTATCCAAAACTAGAGTTCGCCCATCTGACACTAAACCAAAATTTCATAACCAGGGCTTTTTCAAAAGTCAGAGACAAAAGTTGGTGACAGCAATAAATGCCCTGGGATGGGATAAGTAAAGGTCAGGGACATTTCTGAAACCATAATTAGTGAGACAGTATAGCACAGCTTAAGAATATATGATCATGAATTAAATTTTTGTTACTAGTTGTTAGCCAAAAATATCCACCCCTTCAACTCACATTTTCCTGCAGTAAAGGTGGGTAATAATAATTCTCCTCCATGGATTTGGGGGGCCCATCGGGAAACATTTGCAAAGCACTAATTTGATGCATGGTGGACATCTGGCTGATAATCTGCACAAGGGGCAGTGACGCTGGGAAGAAGTCACATTGTCACAGTGATGGGAAGTGATTGTCATTCTTTCTTTAAATGATAGGCTGGTGTGAATGCTGAAGTATCAGATATAAGTGAAACAACACACATAAAAGTCTCTTGTTAATATTACAAAAATATTCGTAAGTTAAATGGAATCAGAACCTGGAGATAAGGGTGGAGCAGGCTGAGAAAGCCAGCCCTATCAATGTCCTTCAGCACCAGCTCACCTTGTTTTACAGAATAAATGGAGTGTGCACCGGGCTGTATTTAGTTTGTGATGAAACAGAAAAGGATGGTGAATATTTTGTTGAATGTAAGTACAGAAAGAGTCTATATATCTATCCATAAGGAATTTAGTAAACCTTAATATCTTCATCGTGTGTGTGTGTGTGTGTGTGTGTGTGTGTGTGTGTGTGTTCTCAAGTGCTCACGCATTGTACATACTCAGGCCTTGTACATACTAGTCAGCTTCTCTACTGCTGAACCACATCCAAACCCTCCTCAGAATCTCAGCTGCTTCCTGATCATTGTTTACTTAGCTAACGCAACCGGGGCATCTAAAAGCTAGCATCCCACAACAGGCAGGTGGAACCAGATGGCTTCTCATCCCCTGCCATCTGTCTGATTCTGCCCCAGTGACCGCCACCCGTGCACATTGCATAGGACACAGTAGCAGGTATTTGACACAGCGAGCTTATGAAAGACAGAGACATGTCACTGGAAGCTGCTGAGGGAGGGAGGGAGGCCACAGAGGGAATAGCAGAGGGTGAGCAGCTGCTGTGGCTAACTGTTCACTAGGGGTTGATCTATCAGTGTCCTTCTCCTAGAAGTTACTTCATGAAGTCCAAAGAGTGACAGATGGAAAGCATCTGACCTTTTCACCCATCTCTTCCAGAACATGCACTTTGATTTTTTTAGATATGGGGAAGAATAGGTAAATGGATGCTATTGTTTCCTGAGGACCAAAGATTTTCTGAGCTGTGTTTCATTTCTTCCACAGATGATGGGCGCAATAAGTTTACTGTGCTTGATACAGACTATGATGGTTATGTTATATTTCATCTCAGAAATGTCAACAAAGGGGAGACATTCCAGCTGATGGAGCTCTATGGTAGAGTATTTTCACACAGACACTGATCTTGGGCTGGGAAAAGGAAAAGAAAGAAACCGTAGCTCTGACATGGTCTTTCCAGCCGGGCCCTGAACTGCCTCTTTCTTACCTCCTCGAGACAGATGCTCACCTCTGTTATCCCTCAGGCTCAGTGGTAGAGGACTCTGAAGTCTCTCAGTGCTCCAGGAAAGATATTCTATGGATGCCAAATTCAGGACAGGTCATATCCATGCCTGTCAATCATGCTGTCAATCATTTTCTCATCCTTCTGGAGGAGCCCGGTCCCATCATTCAGCTCAGTGAATGTGGTCAATACACAAGATGCAGTCATACTGTCACCATTATTTTCCACAGGCCGGAAACAAGACTTGAGTTCCAAAATCAAGGAAAAGTTTGCGGAGCTCTGCAAGAAGCATGGCATTGTTGAGGAAAACATATTGGACCTAACTGAGGCTGGTAAGTCAGAACTCATCTATTTTTCTCCTCCTGGCTGTTATATCCTTGAAGGGCAAAACCCAAGGGATTGGCAACCAGACATGTGTTACAGCTGGAGACATCTGGTTTCTCTTGGGGATATAAAGTGAACCTGGTACCTGAACGTGTTCTTGTTCCCACCCTGCAGATCGCTGTCTCCAGGCCCGAGATGGAGGAAAGGCCTGAGCTTCTGGGTAGGTAATCTCCAGTGAGAGCGAAGAGTGTGTTGGCAGGGACTAGTCCCTTGTAAGAGCATTAGTATTGTGCTCAAAATTACAATAAAAATAATTTGATAAGGAACCTTTGAGGAGAGCTTGAAATTTGGCTTCAAATTATCTGGGTTTGTGATTTAGTCCTACCATGAGCTTCTAAGTAAGTGACCCAAGCAACTAAGCAAGAAAACAAGGACATGCGCTTTACATAGTTGTTGTACGGTTGTCTAAAACGGGCTCAGCAATGCATTCAGTGTCACTAAGAATGTGAACATAGATGCTCGTCAGTGTCTGTGGTCTGCCTCCCTCCCATTCCTGTGATAACGTCTTCCTTTGAATCTGTATGGCCTTGGCTTCCTACCTGGGAATGGAACTGCCTGGTCTGTATTTCTCCAGTATGGAGAGCACACTGGGTTCCCTCACCTGTCCTCTTTCCCACTTCTTCCAAGACTTCTCTCCGATTATGTGTGGAAGTCTTTAAATGTAGCCAAGGCTTTTATCATTATTCCTCAATTTACTGAAAATTCTTCAGTCTTTGTAGCAAATGTTTCTCTGTTCCACCAGCCAGCTCCCAAATAATGACATTGAGACTTATTATTAATTATGAAATCTTGGCCGATAGCTTAGGCTTGTTCCTAACTAGCTCTTATAACTTAATTTAACTCATTTATATTAAATCTACATTCACACAGCATTACCTCTTCTCCATCTTGCACCTCCTGTTTCCTCTCCATGTCCTCTGGCTGGAGACTCTGCCCCTTCTTCTTCCCAGGATTCTCTCTCTCTCTGCCTGGTAGTCTCACCTAAATCTCCTGCCTTGTTACTGGCCATTCATCACTTTATTAAACCAATCACAGTGACATATCTTCACACAGTGTACAAATATCCCACAACAGAGCTTCTTATGCCAAAGACAGTGGGAACAAACCTCAGATCTTTCATTACTTCCTTTTATTTTTCATATGTCATCAATGAGGAAAAAGTCATTTATTCTATGCCTTTCATTCCTGTATTCTGGTAAGTACCATCAGTTAGAAGGCATGGGAAGGTCTGTTTCTTCACCCTTTGCTCTATGTGATAGAATAGCTCTGTGTCCTGAAGTCAACCCAAGCAGTGATTGATGAGTTTCTGTGTTCTTTCTTCTTGGCTTCCTCAGTGTCGAGCGGGGACCCCTCACCTGGACCTCAGCATCATCCCTCCCTGTCCACACACCGTCCTGTGACAAGTTCTGTGATCCGATTCCCATCACTGACACCCAGGAAAGCTTACTCCCTGCATCCCCAGAATCTTCCCTGATTACCTGGGAGGACTCATGGAGAATCAAAGGCTTTCTTTTAAATTTCTCTTTGCCACACCCACAACTCTCCATGAATGTCCTCCTGTCCCTGTTCAATAAAAGATTACCCTTGCAGTTACATATATGTCTCTGTGTCCAAGAAAATGTAGTACTGACAGTGAATGAATGAGGGACCTCCTGGATCCTGTACCTAAGGTCCTTCCTCATGTTGCAGAATCTAACCTGACTTTCAGGATTTTACCTCCTCTGCAAGAATCTCAAGCCC